GTCTCTAGGTGCTCCCCCACTGGTAGATGGTCCTCTTCTCCTCCTCGGGGCTTGAGCAGCTCCAGGCAGCAGACTCCGCAGCAGCCGCTCCAGGAACTCCAGGTGGTGGTCCGGGCAGGTAGAAAGGACACCTCTCAGGTGGTGGTGGTGGTGGTGTCCACAACAGCAACCGCTGGGGCTGGGGTCCCTCACTCCTCTCCTCTGGGGAGCAGGCCAGCAGGCTCCCCCCCCCCAAGGGGCTGCAGTTGGAGCAGTAACAGCTCCGAGAATGGGGGGTCCAGCAGCTGGCTAGCAACCAGGTAGCAGAGAAGGGGGGATGGTGTCTGGCCTAGCCAGGGGAGCAGCTAGAGCAGCAACAGCAGCAGGGAGAGCCCAGGGCCTAGCAGCAGCAGTACCAGCAGCAGCCCTCTCCCTCCTTCTCCCTCCAGGCCAGAGGGCTACAGGAGAGTGATAGAAGGGAGAGCTATTGGTCCCAGGTAAAGCAGGTCCCTTTTCCCTGGGTAAGGGAACAGGAGAGTGATAGAAGGTAGATATATTAGCCCCAGATTAAGCAGGTTCCTTTTTCCTGAGTAAGATAATGGGTTGTTCCAGAACAATCAGGAAGTTGCTGGAACCAATTAAGGCAGGTTAATTAGGACACCCGGAGCCAATTAAGAAGCTACCAGAATCAGTTAGGACAGGCAGGCTAAGCAGGGCACCTGGTTTTAAAAAGGACCTCACTTCAGTTAGTGAGGCGCGTGTGAGGAGCTGGGAGCAAGAGGTGCAAGAAGTTGAGAGTGAGAAGGCATACTGCTGGAGGACTGAGAAGTACAAGTGTTATCAGACGCAAGGAGGAAGGTCCTGTGGTGAGGATAAAGAAGGTGTTGGGAGGAGGCCATGGGGAAGTAGCCCAGGGAGTTGTAGCTGGCACGCAGCTGTTACAAGAGACACTGTAGACAGTTGCAATCCACAGGGCCCTCGGCTGGCACACGGAGTAGAGGGAGGGCCCGGGTTCCCCCATCCCCCCAACTCCCTATTTGAGACAAGAGGTGACCTAGACTGTGGGTCCCACCAGAGGGGAAGGTCCCTGGCCTATCCCCCGACCCACTAGGTGGGTCAGCAGACACTGTGGGGATTGTTCTCCTCTCTTTCCCCAAGCTAGCCAGTGATGAGGTTAGCTGAGTGGACGGCAGGTTTGAGCCACTCACAAAAGTGGCCAAACTGAGGGCTGCCGTGAATCTCTGAGGTGAGCAAATCCGCTTATGAGCGCAGGACCAACCAAGGCAGAGGAGGAACTTCGTCACACCGCATAACTGTACCAGCAAAATGCTCCTAGCATAGAAAAGATTGTTAGTAAATAATTGAGGGTATCATGCAAGTTGTGGAAACTTCTTGACACAATTTTAAAACATTTTTCTAAGTTTTACTTTCAAGGATAAAAGAATCTGATCATTCTAAGCCAGTTCTATTTTCCATTTAAAAAAAAGAAAAGAAAAAGACAATGAATTTAATGCTTGTGACAAGTTAGTAGGTTGATGGCACTGGAGACTGAAACCCATTATTTGTGCTACACAGAAGCAATGAAAGTTTCCATGCTGGCATGTTTTGGAGGCTGGAACTGGAAGCATTTAGATTTAAATGTAAGAGGCTAATTTAAAGGATTGGTCAGAGCTGTTTTTTTTTAATAGAAAATTGGGTTTTCAACTAGAGAAAAATTTTAGTGAAAGTGTCTGCTTGCCACTAAAATTTCTGAGGTTATAAAAAAACAATTTGCCCCAAAATTTTGAGTTTTCAACCAAAAAAAGGGTTGTTGTTTGCTTGTGTGGGATTTTGTTGTTGATATTTTGTTATTTTTAGATGAAAAGACCATTTTTCTTCTCCTGACCAGCTGTACTAACTAAGTCTCCCTGGCCATTCAGTTTGGGCCCTTCTGAAGACTGCCAACAAGGTACTAAGAGAAATATATATTTTACTCTCCTCTAAGGATTGGATTGAGAGTACCAACTCATTTCAACACTGACCACCAGACAGTTATCATCTGGTGACAACTTTTAGTCACTAGTGCCCCGGCTCTCATCCAAAGAAGTGATATAAGCTCCCTATCTCTTTCCTATTCCCATGAGTTTCATTGCCGAGGTTTGTATTTGTTTATCATCTTCCCATCACTTTCCAGTCAACTGTTCCTGTTGAGAAATATGGTTTCAGTGTGTCACAGAGGAGGACTGTTGTATTATTTTTTGTGTCAATAATGTGGAAAAAAAGCAGTCGCATGCAAGAGACTTGATTTTTGGATTGGAGTGATTTGAGTACTTCATGTTTTTCATGCTAATAAAGATAATTTATTATCAATGATCAAGTAATCAAGGAAAAGGGCTAAATTCCCCCTGCTTTACCATGGCTTTCCCTGGTATGGCTGAGGCACACAGCTCCCAGAGGTAGAAAATGTGTGAAAAGCAGAAAGGTGTGAAAAGCAGCTGCCAACTTCCCCTCTACTAGGGAGCTCATGGAGAGTTAGCACGGCCTTAAAATTGGTTGGGACTGACTGACTGAGGCTGTGTGGCCAGTGCAGCCAGGAAGTCCATTTTTTCAAGACATCCCTGCTCCTGTCTGGAGCTCCTGTAATGTCCCAGTGGGAAGAAAAGTTGCCCTCTCTAGGCAGCAGAAACCTGAGGGAGGAGGCAGTGAAAACACCAACTCACCTCCCTTGAGGCTGCATCCCCCAGAGGTGCAGCAACAGTAAAAGTGAATCAAGCTCCATACATTTACTCATGAAAAATGCAGGTATAGCTTTCCAAGGGCCACCTGGCCAAAACCTTGGGAAGGCTGGGGTGAGTTATTGCTTCCTCCCAAGGGCGGTCTGGAAACTCCCTTTTTGTATAGCTTTCTAAATAGTTGTATGTGTGGAGGGGATGGATGGCAGGGAAGACTGAGATTTGCCTGGGGCTGGTCTGCTGTATTCTTTCTTAGCACTCTGCACGGAATTGAGCAACAGGAGACTTCAACTCAATTTTCAAATGTGGGCCCAGTGAATGCCACATTAATCCTGCATTTGGGTGCACATTTCAGTATTTAGGCATGTAAATGCCCATTCAACATGTCAAAATGTCAATTTGAGCATCGGGATGCAAGCCTTCGATATTCTATTAAGGTCCCCAGGTCTGGAAACTGATCTCAGTAAACTTGGCCCGACAAATGAAAAGGAAAGATTTGGTTGCGGAAAAGGTTGGGGGTGGAAAAATGTATTTGTGGTACAGGCCTCCAAAGAAAGATGTGACCTGTAGGTTGATACTGGATATTATCATCCATAAATGCTTTGGATTTTTCATAAAGATCGGAGATCTAAATTGACAGCAACTCACCATTATCTGTTGCTTCTCTGCAACTGTGTAAACATGGTACTAAGTATATATACCACCTACTCACTAATTATATACTGGAGGAGAAAGCCATAGATGAAGCACAGAAAAAGCACTTAGAAGTAGAGAGAGACCGTATTTAATTGCTACTCTAATGAAGAGAAGATTAACAGAAGCTATCCATTGAAATATTTTTGTAGCTAAGATGATTCACTGGATATTTTCTGTCAGGTATTTTATTAGGACCTATTTTCTCTCTTCAGCATAGAAGAAAGCTGCATTTCATTTTTTATTTCCCTTGTTTTGCATCCACCTTTCTTTTTTTCTTTTAGAATTTCTCACATTTTCCCTCATGAATTTTAACTGTTCATAACTACTGTGAGAATATGACTTTTATATGAATAATTTCTCACTCATCCTCTTCCTCAGAAGAAGCCTGAAACCCTCCAAATGTGTTTTGTTTAGGTTTTCTACCGATAAAAACTGATGCAATCACATTGCAGGGTATCAGTGAAACAAACCACATCCGATAAAGGAAACATTTTATTTCTCTTGACTACTTACAGATTTATGAGGCTCCTGTGTGAAAGGAAATGTTTAACACCTGAGAGATTAAATTCAGATAATTGGGGAATATCCATGCACCCATATCATTAACCTCATCCTCAGCAGTGAACAGGCCCCCTTTAACTCCAGTCATGTTTCCTGGTTATGTGTTGGTGGGTTTTGATGGTTAATAGAGAACTGCTGTGGCTGTCACGAATTACATTATAAGTAATTCTGTGGGAATTTCACAGGCTTTTAAAAAATATGTGAACAGCTAACATTGTGGGTACATGGACAGCTATCAGCATTCTTCTTCATTACCTCTTTATGCCCTGTCTTGTCCTCCAGCAACCACACAGTCCCATAGACCCCTTATGTTTCCCATGTCCTCTCCATACAGAGCCTCACTTTCCCTCCTGGCCACCAGCAGAGCTGAATTCCTCCCCTCATCCCTATCTGTGCACCACTATACATTATTCTCTTAGGGTGATAGTCACTCTGACATCCCATGGTGGATTCAGGGATTGCAAGGATTGAGGGCAGGAGGGAGGTCTCCTCCCCCTCTACAGTCTGTGGAATTTCCCCAGGTGGGAGAATGCAGATAGCCCAAGGTCATGCTGATAAAACCATGTCATTGTGTATTCTTTTTCTTTCATGAAAACATATACACATGCACACGTGGTAATATCTGCTGTAGTATAACATAGACCCCCCAGGTTAAGAGGTCCTTGTGTCCCTTAGAGGTGGAGAAGTAATCAGGCCCCTTGTATGCTATAGTGGCAGGATCAGATCCAAGCCTCAGCCTCAGTCTGTTTCTCTCAGGCTAGCAGGAGCTAGGAGTGCATGTGAAGCAAAGCACTCAAACCTGAGGCTCAGATGAGCATTCCTTGCATTGTTTCCTACCCATCCCCTGTAATGGACATGCTTTTCTGGAGGAAGACAGCCCATTGGAAGGAAATCATCAGAGCAGTGTCAAGGATAATGTTTTATATGTGCATTTGTGGAAAGAAGAAACCCTTGCAATTCTGAAACATATCTGTGGGTGGGTGGAAATTGACTAGTGTTAAAGGTTCTTTGGCCCTCACTTGGCTTGGTGGCTGTTCTGTTTTTCTGTTGCAGTCATCTTTAACAAACGGTGATATCATCTTTGTGAAGTTGCACGCCCCGTGGGAGGTCCTGGGCAGATATGCAGAAGTAATGAATGTAAGAATGCCTTTCAGGTAGGTGGAGCTACATTTTGTGCTCAGGCTTTACTGTAAAGAGAGTGTAAAACTGAAATGCGCCCGGAAAAGCTATTCTATGAAATACCTCACAACTTTAGAAAATATAAATGAAGTGACACCAATACCAGAGTCACTGATATGTCTTGTTAATTTGCCTGCAATTTTAGTACAATAGCAGTTTTAGCAGTGCTGCTATTTTCATGGGGTATTCTGTCCGTAGGCCCTTTAACCCCTTCACTGCCGGAGCCCCCTGCATACTCGTGCGCTGCTGTTTTTTAAATGGACATGTCCTTGAAATCAATGGGCAGTTGAGACGATCCAGGTACGTACGGCAGCACAGAAGGTGCATGTCTGTTAGACGTATCTGGCATGTACGGCACCTGTAAATTGTCTGTCTGTATAGTGTGTAGTTGGGGAAATACGGAACATAAATAAGCATTCAATCTAATAGAAGATAGGAATTCAGATGGAAGATTTTCTTTTGAAACATAGAGTTTCTCTTTGAAAGAACAGAAATTGTATTCTGTGCTATTGATGGCCAAATCAATTCCAAATGGTCATTCAGACCAATTTTTCCCTCTTGTCAAATATGATTTGTATGATGGGTTTCAATCCTGATATTAAAAACAGTTTTAATCTACTGGTTATAAAAACTGTGTTAAAATAGTGTAAAGTGTTTGGCTTAAATGGGCCAAACCCAAAGCTTCATAGGTTCTGGTTCTCCTTTCACTTCCTGAGATTACATCAGTACAGCTCCACTGATTTAAGGGAGTTACTCCTGATTTACTCTGATATGAGCAAGAGGAGAAGAAAGCCCAGAGTCACAAATGGTGATTGATCCCAGAGTAAAGCCCCTCAGAGAACTTCTATGGATGTCTCCTCCCCATTTTGAGATGAAAATGTGCCTTTTATGTACTACATCCTGTTGTGTTGTCATAGTCTTAGTTATTAGGAAAATTAAAGATGAATTAAGGACAGATTTTCAGTCTCAATCTGCATTTAGTAGGATTTTCATGTTAACACAAACCTCAGAATTCTTTAGCCTTGTTTAACTTTCCCTTCTGTGTGTTTTTAACATTAAAAAGGAAAAACTATGTAAATTATATCATGAACGACTGCAAGGGTATTTATACAGTAGTTTAAAAAGTGTGCTACAAATATTAAGACAATGGGCCAAATTCTCTCAATGTAACTCCACTGATTTCATTGGCATAACAGTGGGATGAATTTGGTCGAATAAACTTTAACAGCTCTTGTTTGTCAGATGGGAGCATGATCCAGCAAAAAGTAAAATTTCGGGTAGAAAACCCGGGCCTTCCTGATCTGGCTTGCTTACCAGAAGTCACCATTTTCAATAGATAGCCATTTCAACATGCATTTAGCCTATATTTAAAAACTAAAAATGACATTCAGTGGTTCTTTGATGTGCTGTCTGTCCATGGCTTCCTTCTTTGCACAGCCATTGCAAAGTATTATGCCAGTATACTATAATATGAAGTCACTGCAATGTTACTGCAAAAATGTGTATTAGACAAAGTTTTTTGTTAAACATTTTATACCCAATATTTTAACTGTAACTTAACTGTTTAGACTGTAAACATGAAGGCCAACATTTGTCTGCCTTGGTTTTTGTTTTCGGTGCCTAATCTGAGACACCTGTGCCCTGATTTTCAGAGCTCCTGAGCACTTGCAGTTCCTGATAACCTAAGTCTCAGCACTTCGGTAAACTAGGCCTTTTGTGCCTCAAGCAGGGGACCCAATATTGGTAGAAACTTCTGAAGATTTGGGCCAGACTAGGCAGCATTTTCAAAAGCACTCAGTATTGGCCTAACTGTGCTGCCACTGAATTCAGTGGGAGAATTAACACTGACGTCACCAGAGGCAGGTTTATGCAAAGGGGGCAATTGCCCAGGGGCCTCGGAGATTTAAAAGGGCTGGGGGCCCCCAGCCACTGCTGGCAGCACAGCGGGGCTAAGACAGGCTTCCTGCCCACCCTCGCTCCGCACTGCTCCTGGAAGCAGCCGGCATGTCCCTGCAGCCCCTAGAGAGAGGGTCTCCGCGTGCTGCCCCTGCCCTGAGCACCAGCTCTGTAGCTCCCATTGGCCGGGAACTGAGGCCAATGGGAGCTGCGGGAGCGGTGCCTGTGGGCAATAGCACACGGAGACCTCTGGGCCCCCTGCCTAGGAGCCACTGCCAGAGGGGTGTGCTGGTTGCTTTTGGGAGCCGTCGAAAGTAAGCACCGACCCTCTGGCCCCCTCCTGCAGCCCAACCCCCGGCCGCAGCCTAGAGCCTGCACCCAAACTCCCTCCCAGAGCCACACTCCGCACCCCCTCCCACACCCAAACTCCCTGTCCCAGCCTGGTGAAAGTGAGTGAGGGTGGGGGAAAGTGAGTGACTGGGGAGAGGGGGGGATGGAGTGAGCAGGGGGAGGAGCCTTAGAGAAGGAGTGGGACATGGGCATGGTCTCAGGGAAGAGGCCGGGCAGGGGCAGGGCAAGGGTCTTTGGGTTTGCGTGATTGGACAGTTGGCAACCCTACTGGGCGGGCATGTAGAAGCCCTGACTATGCTGGAAGAGTGCGCCCAGCAGTGCAGCCGGTAGCTCGCTGGACAACAACCAGCAGGCACAGCACTGGCCAAATGTCAGGCGGACTGGCGCGGCCATTGACCCCCTGTTCTGCCCTGGGGCCTGGAATTACTGTCAGCGGCCTGGCTAGGGGTAGTGTTAGGTCAACACGGAGTGCTTTTGAAAATCTGCTCCACAATCTGGGCTTTAATGATCTGCAAAATATCTTACATTATTTAAATTCTAAATGCTGAAAGTAATTGAAATTGATAACTAATTTTCCTCCCTCTATTGTTTTAAGCAACAATACAGCTTTGATTTTAAAAACTTGCCAAACATAATTGCTTCTAAGGCACTAATGGATATTGCCATGGTATTTTAAAATCTGTCCAAATTCGCAGAATGAGCTGTGTGGTGTGAACCTTTCGTTTTCCAGAACTGGTATAGATCAGCATTAAATGATGGAACATTTCAGAATACATAGAACCTGCCTTGGGTTAACAATGACTTCCAGTGGATGACAAAGTCAAACTAAGGAGCAGGAGACTGGAGTTCACTAAGACATCCAAATCTTGCTGTAAGGAAGATTAAGAAACCCACGGCTGAACTGCCCTCAAATTTTTGAAATGTTTTAAGATGCTGAAAGCAGTGGTCCAAATTCTGGCAGGCACTGTGGACAGGAGCATAGCAAGAGAACAATGACCAGCAGCAGGAGAATGGGGTGGAACCTGGACACCCCATTCTGGCTCCAACTCGAGCTGATAGGGATGTTGCTCTGCAGGCCCTCTGTGACAAGAGCCAGGAAGGGGCAACCTGGGGTTGGGTCATAGGAGTGAGGGGGTGTGGTCAGAATGCTTATACTTGTGCACTCCTGACTCTTCACTGACCCCTATGCATGTATCCCTCCTCCACCCCTGCCCATACACACACACAGCTTATTCCGTTCACAATAGGAGTTAGGTATGCCTGATATGAGGGGTGGGAGAAGTGGGCTGCACATGGGGCATGTGCCAACCACATATTAATTTTGCTTCTGCAGTCTATATGTTCTTCTGTTTGGGGCGGGGGGAGATTACTTCCCAGAGACCCAGCATTTGTCCTGATAAATACTGCATGTATGATGGTATAGTTTAGTGTCAGGCTTTGGTTTCCACTTTCCTGGATTTTTAAACATTCCCCTATTTAAACAACATGTAATTTATCCAATGCTATATTTAATGATTAAATTATTGATGTTAAAAGCATACAGTTTAATTTATTCACATTTGTATTTGCCTTGTAAAGAGCAGACATCCATTTGCTGAATACTGTGAAACCAAAATGCCTCTGAATCCCTGTCCTCCAGGCATTATAAACAGCAGAAATAAAAAAGTAATGACAGAAACCATTACTTTCCTGCAATTCAAACAGTGTCATAATTTGTCTTGGGCTCCTGTGACAGTTCTGTTAATCTCTCTTTTTAGTCTCTTCCTCCACCTCTTACAGGCTTCTATCTTCAATTTCCTTCCTTGCTAGTTCATACTGTAACTGACGATGGGTTTTCTTCTCGACTGGCTTCATTTTTGCTGTTCTTCCAGGAGAAAAATCTATTACCTGCACCGCCGGCACAAGTTCATGAACAGGTTGGTCAATCCCTCAAGCTGGTGTATTTCTTTGGCAGATCAGAGTTGATAGTCAAACTCTTGGGAAGGTTCAAGTTGTAAGGAGAGTTATTAATGTACATTCAAGCCTACCATTCCTGCAAATACAGTAGTTGCACTTTCAAGGTTTCTACCATTTGAGAGAGATTATCAGTTTTTCCCATTTTAAGTATAGGGAATCTCAAACTGGTGGAATCTTTCAAAATGGAAGAAGCTTTTTCAGGACAACAATTGCAGCTATTTCTCTTCCCATGTAGCTCAGTAAGGAATTTTGGGAAGCTAACAATATCATTAGAATCTGTTATTTATTATTCACTTTCAGCAATACACCCTACCCCTCTGATGGTAATGTCAGCGTTATTTATTTATTGTGCTGTCAGTGTGCATAGTGCTTTAGAGTAATAGACAATGAACCATATTAATCTCTGGTGTAACTCCATTAAAATCAATTCAGTAAGATGAGAGATTAATCTTTCCCAAGATCTCTGCCTTGAAGCACTTCTGCCCAGTTGCCAAATGCATTAAAGACGTGTTTGATGCATGCTTTGTATCTAATTTGTAAAATAATCAAAGGTTTTCAGTCTTCACAATTTTCACCCTTTTTGTTTGACTCAAGCATTTCCTTGGCCAACTAAGCAAAAATGTTGCAAAAAATATCGGAGAAATGTACCAGAGAAATGTGGCAAGGCTCAGTCTGTATGCTGGGATTTAGGCTCGGTCTGTATGCTGGGATTTAGGCTCGGTCTGTATGCTGGGATTTAGGCTCAGTCTGTATGCTGGGATTTAGGCTCGGTCTGTATGCTGGGATTTAGGCTCAGTCTGTATGCTGGGATTTAGGCTCGGTCTGTATGCTGGGATTTAGGCTCGGTCTGTATGCTGGGATTTAGGCTCGGTCTGTATGCTGGGATTTAGGCTCGGTCTGTATGCTGGGATTTAGGCTCAGTCTGTATGCTGGGATTTAGGCTCAGTCTGTATGCTGGGATTTAGGCTCGGTCTGTATGCTGGGATTTAGGCTCGGTCTGTATGCTGGGATTTAGGCTCGGTCTGTATGCTGGGATTTAGGCTCGGTCTGTATGCTGGGATTTAGGCTCGGTCTGTATGCTGGGATTTAGGCTCAGTCTGTATGCTGGGATTTAGGCTCGGTCTGTATGCTGGGATTTAGGCTCGGTCTGTATGCTGGGATTTAGGCTCGGTCTGTATGCTGGGATTTAGGCTCGGTCTGTATGCTGGGATTTAGGCTCGGTCTGTATGCTGGGATTTAGGCTCGGTCTGTATGCTGGGATTTAGGCTCGGTCTGTATGCTGGGATTTAGGCTCGGTCTGTATGCTGGGATTTAGGCTCGGTCTGTATGCTGGGATTTAGGCTCGGTCTGTATGCTGGGATTTAGGCTCGGTCTGTATGCTGGGATTTAGGCTCGGTCTGTATGCTGGGATTTAGGCTCGGTCTGTTGCTGGGTTTAGGTGGTGTATGCTGGGATTTAGGCTCGTGTGTATGCTGGGATTTAGGCTCGGTCTGTATGTGGGTTTAGGCTGGTCTGTATGCTGGGATTTAGGCTCGTCTGTATGCTGGGTTTAGGCTCGGTCTGTATGCTGGGATTTAGGCTCGGTCTGTATGCTGGGTTTAGGCTGTGTAGCTGGGGTGTGGGTTAGGCTCGGTCTGTATGCTGGGATTTAGGCTCGGTCTGTATGCTGGGATTTAGGCTCGGTCTGTATGCTGGGATTTAGGCTCAGTCTGTATGCTGGGATTTAGGCTCAGTCTGTATGCTGGGATTTAGGCTCAGTCTGTATGCTGGGATTTAGGCTCAGTCTGTATGCTGGGATTTAGGCTCGGTCTGTATGCTGGGATTTAGGCTCGGTCTGTATGCTGGGATTTAGGCTCGGTCTGTATGCTGGGTTTAGGTCAGTTGTATGTGGGTTTAGGTAGTTGTTGTGGGTTTAGGTGTCTGTATGCTGGGATTTAGGCTCGGTCTGTATGCTGGGATTTAGGCTCGGTCTGTATGCTGGGATTTAGGCTCGGTCTGTATGCTGGGGTTTAGGCTCGGTCTGTATGCTGGGATTTAGGCTCGGTCTGTATGCTGGGATTTAGGCTCGGTCTGTATGCTGGGGTTTAGGCTCGGTCTGTATGCTGGGATTTAGGCTCGGTCTGTATGCTGGGATTTAGGCTCAGTCTGTATGCTGGGATTTAGGCTCGGTCTGTATGCTGGGATTTAGGCTCGGTCTGTATGCTGGGATTTAGGCTCGGTCTGTATGCTGGGATTTAGTGCCTGCATGATGGTGGGATTTTCAAAAGTGCTCAGCAGTGGCCATATTCTTCTCTCCTGGAAGTTAATAGTGACGCTCCCATTGACTTTGTAGTGGTGTGGCTGCTTGTTGCCTCTTGAGCACCCCCCAGTGGACAGAGGTCACTGTACAGCAGCCTGCCTCTGTTGCTGGCCCATATATTCAGGGCCCTTTAAGAAGTCAGAGTTCACAAAGTAGTTCAAAGAAACTCCAGGAGGGACCCCAGGGAGCTGCCTGGTGCACATGGTCGTCCCCTCCCTCCAGGCCCCCAAATCCAGTCCAGTGCCCCTCGCCCGGTAGTCCAACACGAATTCTTTCAGAACAAAACACAAACTGACTCAGTCTTCACCCCTGTTTCAGATGGGCACAGCCCCTTCCTCACTGAGGCTCAGTCTCTCCCCTGCTTGTTGGGCAGGGTGACTCCCAGGTCTCCCAATTTAGAGAGCTTCCTCCTGCTTCTTGCAATCTCGGTCACTCTCCCAACTCCTCCCCCGCCCCCCACAGCTTCCTGCTGCCTTTTACCCAGGGATCACCTGATTCCACCCTGGCTTTGTAATCAGGGCTGGCTTAGCCCCGGGTTCTCCAGCCCATGGGAAAACCAACCTGTTACAGACTTCCAGGGGAGCAGAGTTAGGCAAACATTGGGCACTTGTGAAAACTCCTGCTTGAGGGTGATGGGTGCTTCACACTGCAGATTTGATAGAAGGTAGATATTTTACAGGTAAAGATAATTTACTGTAGATTGACAAGTTTATTTGGAATTTATTAAAAATTCAATCTTTTTACTTTATTATGATATCAAATCCCATTATTCCCTGCTGATGGTATAAGGGTATCAGCATTGTTCTAATATTATAGTAAACACATGGTTTCATTGGTAGATGGTATATGATCTCTCCATGGAATACAAATCATTTCCTTGGTGGACAGAAAAATTTTGTGAATCCTAAAGCTTGTTACTTCCCCATCTCCCAAATAAGTGCTGTAGGGTTTGGTAACTTTAGAATCTCAGAAGGTCAATGACTTTTCTAAGGCAATGTCAAGTATGAGGGTACTAGTGGAGTTATATCAGCCCAGGGATGAATTCAGCCACAAAGTGCTATAAAAGTCGTCATTCCCTAGAAAGTGGGCAGATAGTGCATACCTGAAGCAACACATGGTTTTTTGGCCAGACGGAAAGAGTTAGTGTTTCGTGACCACTTGCACTGAATATAAAAACATTCCTGGTCCAGAACTGGTGCAGTGCTTGAATGGAGTCACTACTGAGTCTCTCTCCTGCCACCCCAATCTTCACAACTGAATGGCACTGAGTTGATTTGGATTGAAATTAAAGGCACATGGTTGGTTTGACCAAAATAATGGCACACATTGAAGGAGCATGCATAGGTTCGTGTGTGTGTGTGTATGTATGTATTCATATTCAATTTTTTGTTTCCATTTGCTTGCATAATGAGTCAGCGTGCCATTTGAGCCCAGTATAATGAGTGATTTGATCTTTTTATAGTGTTTAAGTTCCTGGATGACGAAAATACCTGGCTAAATCTAGACCTTGTATTATATCAGTCCTATAAATAGTTCCTTGAGACAAAAATACAAACGAGACAAAAAATCCTGGAGAAAAACAAGCACAAATAACAAAGTGTTCAGATTTATTTCCAGTTCTGTAGAACACTAATATACAAATCCAGTATGAGTCAATGGAGACAGGTTCAGTTAAAATGAGAAATGACTTGAATGTTTGTCCATTTCTTGATCTAAACCCAAAGCTTTTTTGAAGTTTGGGCAATTTTGATAAAGGACATGTTTCAGGGTGCAGTCTAGTGCAGGCCACCCTGCAGCATGGCACAACAGTCACCCTGCCCTCAGTTTCCCACTCAGACAAACGCAGATGCACCCAGGCATTTTAAATAACGTTCTCCCTCTGAGTGTCTGTTTTATTACCATAACATAAAATAAACTTTAGAGCTGATTTTTAAAAATGGAATTTCTGTACCACAAGAAATTCCAATATTTTTGTCCATTTGTTTTCATTCAGAATTGAAATTAAAAAGTGTTGATATTTCTTGGAACAAAAAGTTCCAAAAATTTTGATTTGGAAACTCTAAATCTTTTTTTATTGAGTTTGTCAACATCATTAACATCATGGGAGTCCCATGTGGCACCATGGTGGCCAGCCACAGGGAGAAACTGCAGTGCATCATGAGAAATATAGCCCTATAGGGGAAGACGAGGGCATGAAAGATCTGGAACTACAACTCCCATGAAGCACTGTGGCAACTCAGACAAACACTGAGATTAATGTCAACCCAAAATGAAACACTTTGATTTTCCTAATGGAACATTTCACCAAAATCAATCTTTGCCTACAGAAATTTTTGAATTTGACAAAACTCCCAAAACCCAATGAGAACGTGTTTTGTTTGAATTTCTTTGACAAGCCCAAAGAAACATAAAGTTTTCTGTGGCTCTGCTAGATTTAAACCATTTCTCTCCTAGTTGGCAGAATTCTCTACAGCCCTCCTTCCAGCAACTGCATCACTTACATCCTTGGTGCAGGGTTCTCCACAGCCCTCCTTTTAGGTGCTGCCTTAGCAATCCTTTATCCCATACGTATAGGTTCTCTGCAGCCCCCCAAGGGGTTTCAGTCCTTCTGCCCTTGGTGCAGGGTATCTCACAGCCTTTCTTCTAGGAGCTGTGTCTGAA